CTTTTTTCCTAGTTGTAGAAGGACACAGTAACTTTATTTTGCTTATTTATTTATTTTTATATGGTGCTAAGGTTCGAACCCAGTGCCTCACATGTGCAAGGCAAGTGCTCTACCACTGAGCCACAACTGCAGCCCTATATATTTCTTTTTTTTTTTAAGTTGTAGATGAACACAATGCCTTTATTTTATTTATTTATTTTGATGTGGTGCTGAGGATCGAACCCAGTGCCTCACATGGCACAAGGCAAGCCCTCTGCCACTGAGCCAAAATCCCAGCCCTTGTATTTCTTTTTATTGTGTATATATATGTATGCATGTCCAAGCACTATCTGGAATTGCTTTTGCATGCCTTTTAACTTCAGAATTGGTTTCATATTGCATGTGTGCTGCACCTGCTTTTTAATAGCAGCTTTTTGTTTGTGAGGACATCTGTATGGAGTTAGGGCTTTTCTGTCCATTATGGTAGCCACTAGCCACATGATTATTTAAATTAAAGTAATTAAAATTACATGCCATAAAAAGTTGAGTCCCTAAGTCTCACTAGCCACATTTCAAGTGCTTAGTAACCACACATACCTCTTGGTATTGTGCAGCCCAGGTTCACCATTTCCATCATCACAGCAAATTGTCTTGGGCAGCACTGCAGGGCATTCTTTTGCTGTAAAGTATTTATTGTGTAAATACATTATTGTTTATATATCTATTCTTCTGTCCATGGTCATTTAGGCATGTACATTTTTGCCATTAAAAACTGCTACAGTAAGTCTGTGAGTGTGTGTAGATAGTCTCTAGGACAATCCTGTTACTTTCTCTAGGTTAAATTAGAGCATCATAGGGTTTGGCAGATTCTGCTAAGTAGAATCAAAAAGTTTTTATCCGTTTACATTCTGCAGCCAACAGTATATAACAGTAACCTTTAGTGACTTCATGCTTTTTTGCTATTCTACTGGCAGATTGTATCAATTACAGTTGTCGTTTGTTAGAATGCTTTTTAAAGCTGGAGACTCCTGGATCCCTCCATGCCTGCCTTGGAGATTTTGAATAAGTAGGTCTGGGGATTGGACCTAGAAATTTGTAGTCTTTTTCTGTTTGTGGTGCGGGGTGGGTGAGGTGGTATGGGGGATTAAATGCTGGCATATGCTAGGCAAGCACACTATCACTAAGCCACACCTTTTTATTTTATTTGTTTTTTGCAGAACTGTGGATCATTGAGCTACCCAGCCTTTTTAATTTCTATTTTGAGACAGGGTCTCACTAAGTTGCCCAGACTGGCCTCAAACTTGTGATCCTCCTGTTTCAGTCTTCTGAGTAGCTGGGATTACAGGATATGCCATCAAGCCAGGCTCACTTGGTTTTTTAGATAGCTAGGGAATAAAGGAGAGAGAAGAGAGGAGGAAAGGTCTAAATTTGAAATTATTTTTATACTCAAAATATACCTTTTTTTTTTTTTTTTTTTTTTGTGGTGCTGGGGACTGAACCCAGGGCCTTGTGCATGTGAGGCAAGCAGTCTGATAACTGAGCTATATCCCTGCCCCTGCATATGACATTTTAAATTGACAAAATGGAGCTAGTATTAACAACTGTTCAATTTGAATCATTTTGGGGTAAGGTTCCAACATGATGCCCCGCCCCCCACTACCCCCAGATATTTCCGTCTGTGTTTGCTCAAGCAAGTGTTTTCTATAAACATAAGCCAACCATCATGACCAGGGAATTTACATTTATACAACATTGCTCTCTGATCCTTAGATGTTATTTAGGTTTGCTAGTTATTCCAGTAATGTCCTTAATGGCACAAGGATTCAGTTCAGCATTATGTATGGATTTTCATGACACTTTTAAAAATTGTAAGCTAGTTATTTTGAAAAACATCCCTTAGTTTGGGTTCATCTGATGTTTTTTTTTTTTTAATTTTTTTTCATCTGATGTTTTCTTTTGATTAGACTTCAATTTCATATCTTTGGAAAGAATGTTATAGAATGGATGCTTCCCATTGCATCCTGTAATCTGGTTGTGTGATTTGCTAGTAATGTTAACTGATTCTTCAAGTAAAATGTTGACTACGGGATTTTTTTTCTCCTTGGAAGTTAGTCTTTTCTTTATGTTTTGCGTATATATTTTTTGGAGAGTCATTTTAAAATATGTTAATATCTCATTTCTTTTTTTTTTTTTTTTTTTAAGAGAAAGAGAATCTTTAATATTTATTTATTTATTTTAGTTTTCGGCAGACACAACATCTTTGTTTGTATGTGGTGCTGAGGATCGAACCCGGGCCGCACGCATGCCAGGCAAGCGCGCTACCACTTGAGCCACATCCCCAGCCCCAATATCTCATTTCTTATCAACCACTTAACTAATTCAGTTAATTTTGGGTATGTGGCCTAATGGGTTCCAGTTTATTTGAAGTGTTGGATTGCTGTCATTTATTTTTATCTTGATTTTCCCCAGATTTGACTAGTAGGAGCTCCCTAAAGCTGCCTCTGCTTTCCTTTTGATATGTCCCCTTCCTTTTCTGAGCATTTCTTTACTTTCTAGTGCAGTAAGGTATTCTAGACTCCTCATATTCTCTTGGCCTCATCATTGATTGCCACCTTTCATACTGGGGATTGTAACCAGGGTTACTCGACTATGACTGAGCTGCATATCCATCATTTTGAGACAGATCTTGTTAGGTTGCTGAGGCTGGCCTTGAACCTACAATCTTCCTACCTTAGCCTCCCAAGTCACTGGGATTATAGATGTGGGCCTGAGTGCCAGGCTCTGCCCCAGTTTTGAAATCAGCCATTTTCTTAGGAAAAATGTTTATTCAAGTGGGGAGTGGAGTGGTGATTAGAAACCTAGATCTGAGGGGCTGGGGATAAAGCTCAGTTATTAGAGTGCTTGCCTCACATGCACAAGGCCCTGCGTTCAATCCCCAGCACCACCTCAAAAAAAAAAAAAAAAAAAAGATATGAATGTTAAGTGTGCTTGCCACTACCAGAGTGACGTTGCTATTAGACCTCCGCAGACATATTTAGTATTTTTATATGTGTATATATACAAACACATACCCATACCCACATTTGTATCTTTTTTTTTCTTGATTTGTGTATATTGAAATTAAATTCATAGTGATGTCTCTCTCCCACCACAGGATTCATTCTAGTTTCCTCTTTCTGTATTGCTAATTCTGTTCTTTGACAAACTTGGCTCCTCAAATTCTTTTTTTGTGGGGTGGGGGATTAAACCCACGGGTGCTTAACCCTGAGTCCCACATCCCCAGCCCTTTTTTATATTTTTTATTTATTTATTTATTTTTTTAAATATTTTTTTTAGTTTTCGGTGGACGCATCTTTGTATGTGGTGCTGAGGGTCGAACCCAGGCCGCACGCATGCCAGGCGAGCGCACTACCACTTGAGCCACATCCCCAGCCCTATTTTTTATTTTTTTTGATGCTTGGGATTGAACCCAGGGTTTTGTGCGTGCAAGGCAAGCACTTTATATATATATTTTTTAGAGACAGGGTCTCACTGAGTTGCTTAGGGCCTTAGTAAGTTGCTGAGACTGGCTTTGAACTTAACGATCCTTCTGCTTCAGTCTCCCAAACCACTGGGATTATAGGACTGCACCATCGTACCTGGCTAATTCTTTTTTTTTTTTTTTTTTTTTAATTGTGGTGCTGGGGATTGAACCCATGGCCTTGTGTATGTGAGGCAAGCACTCTACCAGTTGGGCTATATATCTCCAGCCCATTTCTTCTACTTCTTCCTTTTTTTAAAAAAAAATATTTTATTAGTTGTTGTTGTACCTTTATTTTTATGTGGTGCTGAGAATCGAACCCAGTGCCTCGCAAATGCTAGGCAAGCACTCTACCACTGAGCCACAACTCTAGTCCCCAGCCCACTTCTTTTTGTTTCTGATTTTTCTCATCCACCTAGGAGATGAGATGGTGGGGTGTTTTTGTATTTTGTTGTGCATGACTTTTGGACTCAGTTGTTTAGGAAGAATAATTTGTTATTTTCTAAATTTTTAGGGGGGATAAATAATACCTATTTACTGTTTAAAATTAGGAAATAAATAAGTTGTGTATTTTAAAATTAAATCTATGTTGTTGCATTTTTCAGGATAGTTAATTTGGGGCTGGTTTTGGGGTTCATTTTTATAGTATGTGATAGCCCTTGGTTCAATCCCCAGTACCAAAAGGATAATGTGATTATCTTAATAGGTTTTAGCCTCACTTCCTCCTTTCACAGGGCTTTTGCAATTCTAGTTCTGTTTCTGTGGCCTTGAGCTTTTGTCATATCCCCCTTATTCATTTTCTGTTTTTATTGTCATCCTTTATTATCATTAAACCATTCTACTGAAAAACATTTAATTTTTCAGATGTTTTTGTTTGCTATTTCAAGACATACTTGTTCTTGTTCTCAGTGGTGATGTATTTCTGTAATGTGAATACAGCCAAAGTTAGAGCCAGATGGAACTAGGTCTTGAGGAACTTGGCGCTCTCTTCTGTCTTTGCAGGTACATGACCATCACTGTCTCCGGTATTCAACAAGCATTTCTTAGTTTTAAGTGGGCCTTAACTTCTTTTTTTTCTTTTTCTTTTTTTTTTTTTAATTTTTAGTTGTAGATGGACAAACAGTACCTTTATTTTATTTATTTATTATGTGGCTCTAAGAACTCAGGGCCTCACACATGCAAGGCAAGCGCTCTACCACTGAGCCACAACCCCAGCTGCTGCTTCTGCTTCCTTTTTTTTTTTTTTTTTTTAATATTTTTTTAGTTGTAGTTGCACTCAACACCTTTGTTTTATTTATTTACCTTTATGTGATGCTAAGGATCGGATCCAGGGCTTCATCCATGCTAGGCGGATGCTCTACAACTGAGACACAACCCCCACTCCCAACTTCTTAATGATCAGTAAACTTTAAGTAATTTCTTTGAGATGGAAATAGTTTCTGCTTTATAATTTGAAGCTTTATAATTTTTATCCCTAAGTACTTCTGCCTTTTTCCAACAGAAGGTGGTCTTCTGCCCTGTGAAAGAGGCACTGGAGGTGGACTGGAGCACTGAGAAAGCTAAGGCTGCCCTGAAGCGCACGACCTCTGATTACTTTCTCTTGCAAGGTGAGTCCTGAAGGCAGAGCATCCTTCTACTGGGCTTTTGGTTTTAATTTCTGCAGATATGGCTCAGTGTACACATGGTTTTGTGACATTTGCCAAGTCACATTTTCTCCTTACCCAAGCAGTATAATGATTCAAAAAGGGTCCAGGAGGAGTGGGGGTTTAACTCAGTGGTAGGGTGTTTGCCTAGAACATAAGAGGCTTTGGGTTCCATTCCTAGCACTGAAAAAATAAACAAGAGGGGGCTGAGGCCATAGCTCAACATAGAACACTTACCTAACATATGTGCGGTCCTAGGTTTAATCCCCAGCATCTCAAAAAGGAAAAAAAAAAAAGAGAAAGATCTATAAAAAATATGTAAAACTTACTTAGTAACTAGCAAGAAGATCAAATTAGAGTATAAGTTTATTCCTATCTGTGAGTAAAACTTTTCCAGTAACTAAATAAAAGTGACAGCAAGACAGGAGATGGTAGGGTAGGGATAATTTGGAGGGTGAAATATATCCATTTGTATAGACAAATGTGAGTTAAGCAGGAATGAGTCTCGGGCATGTCAGAAGAGCAGCCTTCAGAAAGTGCTTTCTGAAGGCTGTGGAACCTGGTGCGGAGGAAGTGTCAGCTGGTGCCATTTGGGGGAAGCTAATCCCTTAGTCCCTGGCACATTGAAAACCTTCAGGAAATAGCCACTAGTTTGTAAAGGTTATGACATAAGCATCTTTTACTGCTGTTCATGAAAGGAGTCCCTGGTAGTGAGTTAGCATAATCTGGTGAGCCTCAACAGGGACCATTTTGTTAATGTCATGAGACATTTTTGGATGTTACAATTGGGTAGGCAGATATTATCGGCATCTAGTGGTTAGAAAAAGTCCTGGGGTACTGCTAAATATCTACAGTGGATAGGACAGCACTTGACATAGAGCTGTTCAGCTTAAATGTTGGTATTGCTGAGGTAAGAACCCCTGATTCAACTCTTTGCAATTTCCAGAGTGTTTTCTCATACATCTCCATATCAGGGCACCCTTCAAAATATACAGGATAGAAATGATTCCAGATTTGGCTTCTTGGGATGAAGAAACAGAGATGGAGAGGTTAAGTATTTTGCCCAAGAGAATACAGGTTGTAAATAACAAAGGAAATTGGACCAAAACAACCCATATCTTAGAAGTCTGATTAAATACTGTGTGATATACAAAGTAATGAGAGTATTTAAGTGCCATTCTCAGCGCTGTACACATACTAGCTCCTTGAATCTTTGTAGCATCCATATGACACAGCTGATATACCCTGTTTTAAAAGGCAACAGGCTGAGGAGGAACCAAATGTTGTGGCTATCCCTGCTTTGGGAGAAGCCAGTGTTCAATTAAGGAGACAAAAGAAATACCCTGGAATAGTAGGAGACAAGTTAAGGTATCCTGTCCGTCCTGATGTTCCAAGGGCCTAGAGAGGTAGACAGGGTTGATGAGGAAGTAGGATTAGGACCCATACTGCAGGCAGTGTTGTGTGGTTGTTTAGAACAGGAACTTTGGAGGGGCTGGGGTTGTGGCTTAGTGGTGGAGCATTTGCCTAGCACATGTGGGGCTCTGGGTTCAATCCTCAGCATCACATAAAAAATAAAATAATTGTGTCCACTACAACTAAAGGATAAATATTTAAAAAATAATAAGGGGCTGGGGATGTGGCTCGAGCGGTAGCACGCTCGCCTGGCATGCATGCGGCCCGGGTTCGATCCTCAGCACCACATACAAACGAAGATGTTGTGTCCGCCAAATACTAAAAAAAAAATAAAATATTAAAAATTAAAAAAAAATAAAAAATAATAAGAAGAAGAACAGGAGTTTTGGAATTAAAATAGACTCAGCTCTGTCATTTTAAAAATTATTTATTGTTATTTACAATGCTGGGGAGAACCCAGGGCTTCACACATTATATGAGCAGTCTGCCTCTGACCCCTACACTCCTCCTGACCCTGCCTGTTTTTTTTTGTTTTTGTTTTTTTGTTTTTTTTGGTACTGGGGATTTAACCCAGAGTTGTTTTACCACTAAGCTACGACTCCTTTTTTTGTTTTGTTTTTAGAAAGGGTCTCACTGAGTTGCTTAGGATCTTGCTTAGGATGGTGGCAAATGGAAAATATAACCCATATGTTTATTTCTCTCTTCCAGATGGTCCTAGTTATCAGTCTTTGTTATTTCAAGTTCCAAGGTGATAATCGTGATTAAAACTATATTATTTGAGGGGGTTGGGGCTGTAGCTCACAGGTAGAACTCCTGCCTTGCACATGTGAAGCACTGGGTTCGATCCTCAGCACCACATAAAAATAGATAGATATTTTAAAAATGGTTTTTTAATTTGTAGGTGAACATGATACCTTTTTATTTTATTTTTATGGTGATGAGGATCAAACCCAGCGCCTCACACATGCGAGACAAGTGCTCTACCACTGAGCCCCAGCCCCTAAATAAAGATATTTAAAAAAAAACCCAAAAAACTATTTGTTAATAGAAAATGTTTTTGTTGTGGTAAGACATAAAATTTGCCATTTTTAACTTTTCAAGTCAGGAAAAGTCATAGAATATGTGTGTGTGTGTGTGTGTTTTGCTGCTACTGAGCTGCATCCTAAATCCCTTTATCAACTTTTTATTTTGAGACGGGGTCTTGATATATGATCCAGACTGGCCTCAAACTTGCAGTACTTTGCCTCAGCTTCACTGGGATTATAGGTGCACTTCGCGCTGTGCCCAGCTGTGTTCTTCTCATTATTCCCTCCGTCCCTCACCTGGGACAGGCATAGCTAAAGGAGTCCTTCTCATTGGCCTACACCTCTAAACCATCCCACCACTTTGCCCAGGGCCTTAGAGCACTGTAAATAGTGCTGTGTGCAGTCCCTTTCTGACTTGTCAAGTACAGTGAACCCACACTGACAAGCCTAGAAGGGAACTGACTCTCCTGGTCATATAGGTTAGTGGTTCCTTGGTTTTTAAAAATTCATCTCCTGACTCTCTTTTTTTTTTTTTTTTTAGTTTTAGTTTTTTTAGGTGGACACAATATCTTTATTTTATTTTTATGTGGTGCTGAGGATCGAACCCAGTGCCTCACGCATGTCAGGCGAGCGTGCTACTACTTGAGCCACATCTCCAACCCCTATCTCCTGACTCTTCTAGGTGCTGGTTCTTTAATGCCACATACACCTTTTTTGCATACCCAACATCACCTTTCCTGGGCTTCTCTCTCAGCAGCAGATGACAGGTCCTAACCTCTCTGTTTTCACATGCATTTTTTTTTTTTTTTAGAGAGAGAATTTTTAATATTTATTTTTTAGTTTTCGGTGGACACAAAATATTTATTTTTATGTGGTGCTGAGGATCGAACCCGGGCCGCACGCATGCCAGGTGAGCGCACTACCACTTGAGCCACATCCCCAGCCCCACATGCATATTTTTCGTGATTGTTGTTTTCCCCTCCTGATCTTTCTATGCCTTGCAGTCTTTGCCCGATGCTGCACCTGAAACTGCAGAGCATGTCCCAAATGCAGTGAGCTCTGGGGCCAGGTTTCCTTCAGTCTGGGCATACTTGGTTAATTCCTTAGGCCACCAGTTGGACCATAAAGTTCTAGAAGTAGAGGGAAATGATTCTCATGATCTCTTTCCTGGGTAGTACTGCCAGCAGACTAGAAGTCTCAGTTTGTAGGTATTAAACTGACTGAGAATATCAACCTTATTTTTATATTCACATAAATACACTTTTGATTTTCTGCTTGGCTGTTTATATAATAGATTCTCGTGTAACATGACCTCATTAGAACATAGCAGCTTTCACATGTGAAGTTAACTTCTGCCAGATACACTTGCTGTTAACTGCCTTTGTGACCTTGGGAATCCCGAACAAATCAATTTGCCTGATTTTGGATATTGTTTTCTCAACTCCAAAATGATAGCACTAAATTAACTGATCAGTTTCTATGGTGTCTCCCTCCTAAGTAATCAATCTAATAATTTGTAAGTTTTTTTGTATGCCTCATTTTCTGCTTTCTGTTTTTTTCTTTTTATTTATTTTTTTAATACCAGGGATTGATCCCAGGGGTAACCACTGAACCAATTAATTATTTTTCATTTTGATAACCTGCTTAGGGCCTCGGTCTCCTGAGTTAAACAGAAGATCTTTCAGTCAGTCCTAGAATCCCATTATAGTTAGAATCGTATTTTTGCCTGTCCTGTTTTGATCACCAACTATGGTCCAAGTGGAGTGGGAGACAGTCCTATGTCATGGGAAAAGCACAGACTTTAGAGACCAACAGACCTGTTCTGAGTTCTCTGCTGCACCCTTAGTGGGGATAACCTTTGGTGTGTAAACTTCAGATCCTGGCTTCTGACCTGATAAGGGAGATGAGGAGTAATCTCCTTTCCCTTAGTTCCAAGAAAGGTAAGGAGATGGTGGTATGAAAGGTGTCCACATCAGGGACACAGATTTTATACCACCTGAGTGTTCATCTCTGGTGTTCAGCATATTTTATAATCACATACTGAGTGATAACTTTAAAATCAGGGTGAACACATCAGAAATTGATTAATTAAAATGGGGCCGTAGTTTTGCTTATTATAAAGTCAAACCTTGGTAACATTCCCACATCAAGATATGGGTAGTCTTAGGGAATGTCTGGTACAGTGGTCAACTTTGCAGGCAGTGCTATTTTCATGTTTTTGGTACCTACAAATATTTACTGTGTATTGAACACTACTTGCTGCATTACTTGGAACTGAGGTACTGAGGTTGACAACTTATTATTATTATTATTATTATTATTATTATTATTATTATTATTATTATTATTTTTAGCATGGGGGATACTGGGGGTTGAACCCAGGGATGCTTATCCAGTGGCTACAGCCCCAGCCTGTTTTGAGTCAGGGTCTTGCTAAGTTGATTAGTGCCTTTAATCTGCTGGGGTTGGCATTGAACTTGGAATCCTCCTCTATCTCAGCCTCCCAAGCTGCTGGATTACAGGCCTGTGCCATCACACCCTGCTGAGGTTAACATATTCTTGAGACAACTTTTTTTTTAAGAGAGAGAGAGAGAATTTTTAATATTTATTTTTTAGTTTTCGGTGGACACAAAATCTTTATTTTATTTTTATGTGGTGCTGAGGATCGAACCCAGCGCTGCGCGCATTCCAGGCAAGCGCACTACTGCTTGAGCCACATCCCCAGCCCTTGAGACAACTTTTGAAGTGTAGTTGTTTTTTTCATTTTCCTATAAGGTGACCAAAGTTGAGCTTGTTTTTGACTGCTCGGAGTCATATACTTGGTTTATAGACAAATCCAGAATTTAGAAACATGGAGTCTGTTTTACCTGTGGACTGTGCTCCTGACCTCTATACTATAAATCTCTAAATTCAGGATTTTGTTAAATGTCATATCAGGATCTGCATGTTAGGGAAGCTGGATCACCACTATACTACAGAAAACTCTGGTTCAGAGATTCTCTGAATGCTGAGCTGGGGCTGTACCTCAGCAGCAGAGTGCTTGCCTAGCATGTGTGAGGCACTGGGTTTGATCCTCAGCACCACATTAAAAATGAACAAATAAAATATATTGTGTCCATCTAGAACTACCAAAAAAAATTGGGGAAAAAAAAGAGATTCTCTGAAAGCTGTGGTTTATTGGCAGAGTGCATGCTCAGCATTCCTTGGGTTTAATCCCCAACACCCCCAACCAAAAAAAATTATATGAATTATGACCTAGTTAATTGTTTTGTTTCCCCATAAAACATGTAAGTTTTTATTTTGAGACAGGGTCTTGCTGAGTTGCCAATGAGGGCCTCAAAGTTAATGATCCTCCAGCCTCAGCCTCTTGACTCAGAGATTACAGTTATGTGCCACCATGCCCAGCAGGAAGTTCTCTTTTTTTCTTTTTTCTCTTTAAGGTTGAATCCAGGGCCTTGCATATGCTAGGCAAGCACTCTGCCACTGAGCTACATCCCCAGCACCCCCCCAGTCCTCACCAGCTCCTATCCCTTTTTGTTGTTTGAGTCAGGATCTTAACTAAATTTGCTGGGGCTGGCTTGATCTTGTGATCCTCCTGCATTTGCTTCCCAAGTGCATGCATGGGCCACTGCACCTAGCTAAACAATATTTTAAATACATACTTGAAGAGAGATTGTTATAATTGTGTGTATGCAGTTAACTGTATGACTTTCATTAGTAAGTTGTTTTTTCTTAAACTTGATGGCATAAATAATACTGGAAAAATCTTGGAGTGTATCTTAGAGTGACCTTGTTTAAATTGTTGGCTGTACCCGCATCTGTGATCATGTAGGTTGTTTTCAGTTTTCCCAGGCCTTGGATTCCTCAGGATCCTTTATAGGAATGAATAGATGTGACTTTGATGCCTTAGTGATAAATTAAAAATAACCTGATGATTTCTAGTGAGTACAATATGCTTGTTTATGATGCACATTTGAAAATAAAGAACCTGACTTTGTTTCACCATTGCCAGTTGGTGCTCCATAAATGAATATTTTTGTTTAAGCGGCTCATTATTGCTTATGGCACTTACTGCACCTTAGAGGGAAAGCTGCTCACCTACTGGTATCCCCACAGGTTCTTCTTGCTGCCCTGCTTCTTACTACTCACCAGTCTTTTTAAATCTAGTCTTCCTGGCCCTGGCCTTTACTTACATGTGAACGTTTCTTGCTGCCCCATTCACAATTAAGCCTCTGGTGAAGCAGCTGCTCTGTTGACCCCCCCCACACACACACACCTCCCTTTGTATGTTAGTGTTGACGCATTTGGATATTGTGTGTTTTTCCAGTTTACTTCATAAGATAGTGGCTAGACTGAATGCTTCCTGCTGCATTTTTCCACTATCTTGAGAGTCAGCCTCACCATCTGTGAGCAAAAAGTCTCATCTTTTTATTATTCTTCCATGGCATGTTGCAAAACATTAAGCATGAGCTGGTTTCCTGTGGCAAAAAGTTGACTTTGATTTGTTCTTTTTGAGGTTACTATGAGTTTATCATAACAGAAGTGCTAAAAATATCGGGTCTAGTATGGAAACAGCGTTCACTGACCAGTGTGAACAATAATGTTAATGGAGGTGGAGCCCAGAGCAGGAAGAAATGGACTCATTCCAAGATGAGAGGTACTTATCAGAGAATCCTGGGCAATCTTAATTTTCTCAGACTGTTCTGATGAGTTGTGGAAAAATACTTAAGGCCGATTTTGGGCCACAGAACTGCAGCTGAAAATAACCTTAGACCAAACATTTGTGAACATCTCCTATTTGCCAGATCTCGTGGCTGGGAATCATCATCAGAGGAAGACTAAGTCTCCTCACCAATGGAAAAGACAAATAAATAATGCTGTACCTTGTGAAGAGAACTATACCAGAGGGCTATGGAAAAAGCTATGGTAAGGCTGGGGGTGTGGCTCAGTGGTAGAGTGCTTGCCTGGCGTACATGAAGCCCCTGGGTTTAATCCCCCCAGTGCCGAAAAAGGAAAAAGCTATTGTTTTCTTTTTTTCAGTATGTCTGAATTACTCCGTAATAGTCAAAAGCAAACTGTTATGGGAGCTCAGAGAACTGAGAGTCTGGCCATCCCTGGGGAGTGGTAGTCTTGAGCAGGTACAGGCTAGGTGGTAAAGGTGAGACTGTTGCAGGCAAAGGAACAGCATATGCAGTGGACCCCAGGACAAAGACCCCACTAGAGAGACCCTTGAAGCTTACTTGGGAACTGGCCAGTGACTTCTCATTTGTCAGGATATCAGAATTAACCAGAAGACATTTGAAAAATACAGATTGCTTGATTCCATCTAGCTTAGCTTTACTGAATCAAAATTTCTTAAGGTGACTTAACATCTCTGTTTTTATAAAGCTTCCAGGTTTCTGAAGGATTGTCAAATTACGGGGGGAAGCCATAACTATAGCAGGGGGAATTTATATCCTGGGACAAACCCTTGAAACTTTGGTTTACTTGTTGGTGTTTGTATGAAGTATTGAGATTTTTTTGTTTGTTTTTGTTTTGATGCTGGGGATCGAACCTAGGGCTTTGCACATATTAGGCAAGCACTCCACCAGTGATCTACATCCCTAGTCCTAAAGTGCTGTACTTTAAAGACATTACTGTGAAGCAGGAAGAAAAGGAAGTAGTAACCCAAGCAGCTCTTAAATGCAGTGTTTTGACTGGATCCCTCAGACTAAAGAAATCAGCCAGTTACTACTGAACCGTAGCTTGTGTTTCACAGTGGTATGAGTTAGCAGTTTTAAAACCACTAAATATGTATCTAGGGTTGAGCAAATAGGTAAACATAATGTGGACAAAGCGTTGGTCCCCAGGTTAGATAGGGTGTTTTTGTAAATATGGAAGAAGGGAAAGGCAAGAAGGAATGCTGTGATATTGAATTGGAACTAGAGTTGCTAGGATGAACTCATGTTTTTTTTAATATGTAGATATAGAAACAGATGTATGTGGTACACATAAATAAATTTCCTAGATCTATTTGTTCAGGGGGCACAGATGCAGACATCCCCAAGGCAATCCATTGGTGGAACCAGGCTCTTTGGACAGATGACTGCTTTTTTTTTTTTTTTCCAGGGGTACTTTACCACTGAGCTACATACCCAGCCCTTTTTGCTTTTTATTTTGAGTCAGGGCCTTGCTAAATTGCTGAGGCTAGCCTCCAATATGAGATCATCCTGCCTTGGCTTCTCAAGTCTCTAGGATTATGTCACCATGCCCAACAAAATGACTGCTATTTGATCTGGGGTAGGATAATAATAAGTGAACTTGGACTATCCTGGTGTGCCCCAAAATGTGGAATAGCTTTAAGAATGTTGAATGATGGGCTATAGTTGAACTCAGTGCTAGAGGGCTTGTCCAGCATGTTGTGTGAGGCCTAGGATCCATCCCCAGAAGGAGTAGAAAGAAAGAAAGAAGCGGCGGGGAGATACATTTAAAAAAAAAAAAAAAGGTGGTGCCCAATAAGGGTAGAACAGATGATTAGGATTAAAGCCAGGATCTTGTGCGTGTGAGGCAAGCACTCTACCAACTGAGCTATATCCCCAGCCCACAGTCAGGATTTTAAAAGTTTACATATTTGTGACCCATCACCAGCATTCTATATATTATTTTTATCAAGAATCATTTGGGCTGGGCATAGTAACACACACCTGTAATCCCAGAGGATCTGGAGGCCCAGACAGGAGGATCACAAGTTTAAAGCCAGCCTCAGCAACTTAGCAAGACCCTCCCTGTCTCAAAAAATAGAAAGGGCTGGAGATGTGTCTCAGGGGTTGAGTGCCCCTGAGTTAAATCCTTAGTATCCTAAGATAGATAGATAGATTGATTTAAAAAAAAAAAAAAAAAAAAAAGGACTGGGTTTGGGTTTGTGCTTCAGTCTTAGTGATAAAATGCCTATGGGTTAAATCCCTAGTACCACCACCACCAAAAAAAAAAAAATCATCAATGAAGCTGGATTTAGTAGTACATTTCTTTTCTTTCTTTCTTTCTTTTTTTTTTTTTTTGTAGTATTTATTTTTTAGTTGTACACAATACCTTTACTTTACTTTTATGTGGTGCCTCACACGTGCTAGGCATGCACTCTACCACTGAGCCACAACCCCAGCCCCAGTAGTACATTTCTTGTAATCGTAGCACTTGAGGTTTCGTTGCGGCAAGAGGATCACTTGAGCCTGGAAATGGAAGAGTCCCTCTCAAAGTTGAAAAAGGAGTCCTCGGTGAATTGCTAAAGCGAATGGGAGAAGGTTATTTTCTGTGAAGCGGGATAAGCTGTCTCCTCATGGGATGAAGAGAGATATGGAGGGCTTACTGGGGATGCTTCTCAGGAGTAGATTGCTTGCTTAGATTACGCGAGGCCGTGGGTTTCATTCCAAGAGACAGACAGGAGAGAACCCTCTGACAGATGGTACCTCAGTAGATGTGATCAAGGTTAACATCCCCAACACAGGATGGACAGACCTCCTGCCTCCTGAGATAAAGGACATAATATTGCTTTGGAATTCTTAACCTGGATACGTCAGACAGAGCCAAACCGAGCAATATTGAGCAATATTCTAGAAAATAAATGGTATACTTTTTGAAAGTGTCATGCAGGACTGAGGAATTATTTCGGATAAAAGGAGATTGGGGGCTGGGAATATAGCTCAGTTGGTAGAGTGCTTGCCTCGCATGCACAAGGCCCTGGGTTGAATCCCCAGCACCAAAAAAAAAGGAAAATTGGCATATGTAACCCTGGGTTGGATCCCTGAACAGGAAGATTTGTTCCCCCCTTTTGCTGTAAAGGACAATGTGGGACAACTGGTAAAATTTGAAAAGGTCTAGGGGCCGAGGTTGTGGCTCAGTGATGGAGCGCTTGCCTAGCATGTGTGAGGCACTGGGTTTAGTCCCCAGCAAATAAAATGAAGGTATTGTGTCCATCTACACCTAAAAAAAAAAAAAAAAAAAAAAAATTCAAAAGAAATGTTTTAAAAAGTTGAAAAGGTCTATACATCAAATAGTTATATATCAATATTATTTTTATGATTTTGATAATTGTTTTATAGTGGCAATGCCCATGGTTTTAGGAAATATTCACTAAAATATTTTGCGGCAAGTTACTTTAGATTATTCAAAAAAAAAAACAAGAGAAGAGTGATGGCAGATGTGGTGGAGTGTTGCTATGGGGCATGGGTGCAGTCACACTGGGCTTCTGAGTGCACTTTTTGCATCTTTAAGTCCAAATTAGGCTATGGGTATAGCTTAAAATCAGTGATGAAAATAGGTAAGGAGCCAGGTACGTGCCTATAATTCAAGCAACTCTGGCGGCTGAGGCAAGAGTTCAAGGCCAACCTCAGCAGCTAAGCATAGCCCTAAGCAATTCAGTGAAACCTTGTCTCAAAATACAAAAAGAAAAGGAAAAAAAAGTCAGGTATGAGGAAGTGTTAAAAATCATTATTGTGATCTATTTGCCATTTTGTCTTTTGGAGAGTGTTGAGTTCAAGATTGTGATAAGTACCCCCATTGACACAGAACCCTGAGACAGGAACTCACCCCAGGCTCCTGCCCCTCGTATTTAGATAATTTTCCCAAGATGGCTTCTTCAAGTGGCTTAGTTAGCCTCTATGTCAGCCTCCTAGCTAGTCTCTGGCTTTAAATCTCCTTTTAATCTGTATTATTTACTATTCATCAGATCAATCTGTCTAAAAAAAAGCAAAACTCTTCCTTGATTTCTTTTTGCCTTCAGGGTACAGTTCAGGCTTCCTGGACTGGTGTCCCAGAACTACAGCACACTGACCTCCTTTTCTCCTTTTTACTTCCTTATGCTTTCCACATTTCCTACACTTGTGTCATAACTGTACTGGTTTCCTGTTCCGCATAACCCTATGCTTTGGGCCCCTGTGTTTCTAAATACATTTCTATTTTGCCTGTATCTGTAGCTCCTCACTGCTCAGGTCCAGTGCTGCTTTCACGAATGGAACTCCTCATGTCTACATTAGGTTTCCTTCCTCTATAATCTTATACTACTCTCTGTACCACAGACCTGGCCATGGTTCCTTAACCTCTTGTCTGTCCTGCACAGACCTGATTCAGAGCAGGAGTTTGGCAAATGGGTTGATTGATGGCTCTGGCCACCTGTCTCAAGTATGGGGTAGCTGGCTGGTTTTTTAACCTGTGACTTCATTTATTTATTTTAAGGATGTGTGAACCATCTAAATGGTATAATTTGCATAAATAGACCTTGTCCTTATTCCTACTGTGCCATAAGACAGAAAAGGCTCTAAACCTGAGACATGGCTGCAGGACATGCTTATCCCATCGAAGAGATTGGGAAACATTACCACTGTCCTAGCTGTCCATACCTAGGGACTCACGAATAACAAGAAACTTCTCTCTCTTGATAGGACGGTCAGACCTAAGACCCTCCATGGGGGAATTAGTATGTCTTCTAGCCAGACAATGGCATTCATAACTGCTTGAACTTTTTTTTTTTTTTTTAGGTGCTGGGAATTGAACCCAGGGCCTAGTGCATGTGAGGCAAGCACTCTATCAACTGTGCTATATCCCCAGCCATAACTGCTTTCTTATAATGTCAGAAACCTCTCGGTTACCTCAGCTCAAAATCATGGTTCTCCGTATTTGGAAAGA